TCCACGAAATTTATAGTCTTGGTTTAGCAGTAGAAGGATGTATTGTTTTTTATTAATCACAGAAGAAATCATATCTTCCTCTAGCTCAGTTCAGTCAGTTTCATAGTAGGTGGAGAGTCATCAATCAGCAGATCTTTACTATGGCATCGCTTTAAGTTTTCGATGTCTAGACTTTTCTCTATTTATTTGTAAGACTGTTAAATATCCTTTATGTATAACACGAATACTATAATTCAAAATTTAAAAAAGAAAGACTATGGCTTATATGTTGTAAACCTTTAAACTTACCTTGCCCGACCCTAAAATTAGTGAAATAATTCAGAGCTTATAACCACCAAGTTTCCAATGATGGACACCCCTTTTGGGTTTCCGGTAAGTTTTGTTAAGAAGCAGTTATAAATGCCTAGGAAGCGAAATCATGACAGGCAAATAACTAAGACGAGTCATGGCAATCTTACCCGTCGCATTCACCATGCCCACTCCATACATCTTGTTAACAAACACAAAAAGATATATCCCTTGAGAAGATTGGAGTAGGTACTACAGCGAGTAACCTTGCAAAGGACCTTTAAATTCGTGGCGGTAGCATTGAACCGACCGCAACGCCGGCGAACTGCGTCGCGGTCGCTGCAAGTCAGCTGATCGGCATCATCGATTTCGTTGCGAAATACCGAGGCTGACGCGGCCCGTGGGTTCCAGATGGCTTCGTTCTTGCCTGCATATGGTTGCTAGTTCCGCTGAATTTCCTTCAGATGTTGTCCAGTGTTGATTCTTTTTGAAGTGTTGTTTTGAAATTCGCAGAATGCAGGACTTATCAGCGTGCGTGATGGAACCGGTCGTTTACCACTGATTGGGATGGAATTCTCATCATGTGATATCTGTCTATTACTCATTGGTTGTGTCCTAAACATCTGTTATCACATCACCTCCACATTGTTCAATCCATCGATCGTGGCGTAGGGGGTGTCGCCTTTTGCTGGCTGTTCGCCGTCGGTCGTTGTCAACACCTTCGGTCTCTCTCATTCTGTGCAAAACACGTTCCATCTGCCGCTCTCACGATCTCCTTCCTATTGCGATCATACACTCTTTGCCCAGATCAGCTGGTTGGCCCTTTTTACGCTTCCACACTCCACTCACGCACATACACACACGCGCTGTCACATGGCTTAGTTCGTGGCTCCTAGATGCTGTCTGTCCCTCCTGTTCTTGTAATCATTAATGTGTGATTTTCTTCTTCAAGACGTCTCCTGTCTTTTGATCATTCGCGTCAACCACGCCAAATTTGCATGGCTGAGTAAATAATCTAATCCAGTGAGCTGTTCGCATTTTAGACTAGTTGCCAATAATGAAGTGGGCTTACAAAGAAGAGAACAACTTTGAGAAGAGACGTGCGGAAGGTGACAAGATCAGGAGGAAGTACCCTGACAGAATCCCTGTGAGTTATATCTCTAACGACTTACTAGATAAATTGGCAATCAAATACTTTCATTGATCTATCTTAGCAATGCTTCATTTTACCATTTTGCTTCTCATCATTTTTTTCTCAGTAAACTGGCTTAGTAAACTGACAGATTGTAATTTGAAAATCGAACGCTGGTGAATTTTTCTAAAGTACTGCATCTTATTATGTCAATAAGTGACTCATGCAGAGTTTTGTTTTGTCTGCAGGGAGTATTGTAATAGCATTTCATTTGATTTATGTAATTTACTATATACTATGCTGTTTTGTAGGTAATTGTTGAAAGAGCCCCCAAGTCTCGACTCCGAGACCTTGACAAAAAGAAGTACTTGGTGCCCTCGGATCTCACTGTTGGGCAGTTCTACTTTTTAATCAGAAAGAGGTCAGTTTTATTTGTTGTCGCCCTATTTAAGTAATGCTTTTGTGATGTCTTCTCACTGAGGTTCTTTTAGGATTCATCTTCGACCAGAAGATGCGTTATTCTTTTTTGTAAACAACGTCATTCCACAGACCATGACCACGATGGGTCAATTGTATCAGGTAAATTGACGTTTGACACGTTGTTGTAGTGTAATGGGCAGTTTTGTGGCGTGCATCTGGTGCGAGCTAGGTTAGCGTAGTATTGATTCTTTGGGTCTCATTGTGCATTGAGGCCAGCTGCTTTGATTTAGATAGGTACGATAATATATATGGGTGTTAGTTGGAAGTGAGAAATACTTCCATTCATGGGCGGAAGTGGCAAGAGTGGTTGTAAGAGTCATGGGAGAGAAGGTCTTTATTTTTTGGCCTTCGTTTAGTCTTGCGTTCAAAAGCCCGTATTTTATCAGTGCCAAATATGTGAAGTGGTTATGCCATTCTGGACTAAATAATTAATCTTTCCTTATTGCTCACTAAGGAACCGGTACGTCCATTTATCTAATTCGGCAGTGCATGGTTCTGCTGG